CTAAAGTTTCACAAAAACCTTCTAAAATTCAAACTTGCTAAAATTGTGTAAATTTAATTCGTTATGTTTAATAAGGTCTTGAATTTCTTAATAAATATTTTTAAAAAGGAAAACCACAGAAGTTTTCTATTATCATCATAGACAAAAAAGTATCAGAATACCAGGAAACTATATCGCAAAAGATAATAAACTCTACAACCCAATTCTAATTTTGAATCTCGTAAGATTTATTTAAATCACGAATAAGAAAATATTATAAACTCTACAATCCAGCGCTAATTTTGGTTGGATCTCACAATATTTATTTATATTATGTATTATAAACGCTACGACACTAACACTAATTTTTGATATTTTAATATTTATCTATATCATGAATCAAGTAAATATTACTTCTGTCGTCGACGTAACTACAACATATTTTTTATTTTTTTTTTTTCTTCTTCTTCTTCTTCGATGGTGAGTGATAGTACTAGTAGTGATAAGAAGCTTGTGTTTATTACCCGGTATGAAAAACTGAGAACATGAGACCTGGTTATTGAAGACCTAAATTGTGCCTTCGAGTTATTTTCAGTACTAGGACCATTTGCGGGAATGATGTTAGTCTGTGTTCATACATGTTGTTTACGACTAGGTTTCTGGTGTCTTTACTTGGCACAAATACCTGAAATAGTGTTAACTACGTCGCTGAAAGTGAAACTTTGGGATAAATCATAAAAATGCCGTAATAACTATAGGAAGTCGACATAAAATTATTAATCTGTTTAGTTATTTTTATATTTGGAATATGACATCCACCACTGCTTTATTGTATTAATTTATTATACAGTATTTCACCTGTAAACACTTGATAATTTTATTGCTTCTAGATTTAAAAACTTCTTAATGTACTGTTATACTCATAAATGCAAGTTGTTTAGTGGGAAACATTCCATTAATGAGTATTATTACTTGAGTTATACTTTGTTTTTCTTTTTCATTATACATTAGTATTTCTTGTGTATTAAAATGATCACTGAAACTAGTTTCATTACCTTGAGCAGTAGCTTTTTATAATGAAAAAAAAATAAAAATTTGCACACATCATTCCCCATGTAGTGATTATTTCAAGTGGCTATCCATTAAAATTAATTTTGGGGTTTCTTATAATCTTTAATATGAATGAAACTCTTCAGAAAGTTGCATGGATTCAATGTTCCTTCTTAAGATGCACTTATTCACGGCAATCTGGCAGTTACTGCACAATTGGAAACAACAGGTTACTGGCAAGTAAGTCAGTCGGTAATAATTTCATATGGAAGACACATGCCTATAATTTAAACGTAAAGCAGGGGTACAGGTGCCAAAACCTGTTCAAAAAAAGTGCTGAACAGAAAAGTATTCTCAGAGGGGTTTGTAGTCTGGCCCAGTAAGCAGGAGTACAGGTGCCAAAACCTGTTCAAAAAAAGTGCTGGACAGAAAAGTATTCTCAGAGGGGTTTGTAGTCTGGCCCAGTAAGCAGGGGTACAGGTGCCAAAACCTGTTCAAAAAAGTGCTGGACAGAAAAGTATTCTCTGAGGGGTTTGTAGTCTGGCCCAGTAAGCAGGGGTACAGGTGCCAAAACCTGTTCAAAAAAGTGCTGGACAGAAAAGTATTCTCAGAGGGGTTTGTAGTCTGGCCCAGTAAGCAGGGGTACAGGTGCCAAAACCTGTTCAAAAAAGTGCTGGACAGAAAAGTATTCTCAGAGGGGTTTGTAGTCTGGCCCAGTACAAAGAAAAAATTAGGAAGAATACAATAACTTTCAAAACAAGTAGCTTCTTTGGAATGCTATCTACTTTCTTGTAATATGTTTTGTCCTCTTTTAATAACTAGTGACATTCTATTGTACTACAATTAATTACTTTTGTAAAAATCAAGAAGGAATTGTATTATAATGTTTGCAAGTCATAACTTTTCTTCATCTTTTTTTCAGTTTCCAATACATTCATTGTCTGTTTTATTTTATTTTTCATTGGGACCAGTACTACAGCCCAATAGCACACAAAAATAAACTCAAAAGGAGTTATACGTACAATCTTGAATACTTCTCAGATTTGTTTTAGTGTACCTAGAGATAATACTACTCGGTATATTACAATCCGAATGAAACATTTTGTTACATCAAACATATCTGTCATACAAGTAGGATCATATAAATCATTAAGCACAACATGTGATAATCAACAAATATTTTTAATGATTAAGTGAAGTCTTGTGTGTTATTCTCGACTCTAAAAGCACTCTGGATTGTATTCAGCAACTACAAGTATGTTTAAGTTATGTGAAACGTTTTATCTACTGTATAACTTTTTAAACTATTTGTACAGACATCTCAGTGACAGAAAATTTGCTTTAAACAGTTTATTATACATTACTAATATTCTACCCCAGGATACATAAGATACAGTTTCACGGAAATAAACACATTGCAACTATCAATATGTGGGGGGTAAATGTTGTATTTACTTAGGCACAACACTGTACATCAATCTTTCTATTATTAGTCTTATGAAGAAATGATAAAACATTTTAATGTAAAGGATATTACAAAATCAAATCGATCACTAATACTTTGATATTTATATTCAAATTAGAAAAGCAGCCAAGCAACTTTATTAGAATGATTTAATGACAAAAGAACCCAAATTAACTATAAATTGAATAACCCCTTTTTTTTTCAAATAAAAAAAAAGGTTACAAGTCATTAAAATAGTAATTGGTAATGATATATCACCTAATAATTTTTTTTTTTTAATACATTACAGAATGTAGAACTATGCTCAGTTATAACTGTTACTGAAAACCAAATTTCAATCATCCACAGAAAAATCTAAGCAGACACTCATTTCTTGAACAACTAATACAAGAATTATGGAAGTCTCGCCATCTCTCGAGAAAAATTAGATATACATATTCAGTAATTAACCATCATAATCAAATATTTATCACACCTTGTCTGAGTTACCATGACTAATTCCATTCTTAAT